CTCCCCACCCCCCCCCCCCCCCCCCCTCCCCCCCCCCCATACCCCCCCCCAGCACAAAAGAATCAGCCTAAGGCGACAAGCACAAGCACAAAGTGCCGATATCCAGCAGATCCTACCGCCATAATGCTCCCCTCTGAAAATAACTACTACGAATTTAACATTAAAGTTCCAAATGGCAATTCTCAATCCCGACATCCAGTAACCACGACACGCTACAATAATTCCTTGTTTGCGCTCTTTAAACGAGAAACGAGGTTCTTATGATACATTCTTTTCTGACAGCTTTTCAGAATGTTTCGGCACTCTCACCTTTTTCAGAGCCTGGAAAGATCGGGTTGCCCACAACTCAGTCAGCCAAACACCTCCATTACTTGATCGAAAATATCAAACAAAAAAGTACGAAATCTAATTTTTGATCGTATCAAGCGCAAAACAGCTTCGAGCGTATTCTCCTCTTTAGAAAGTCACGCACTGAGTCGTCCAGATGGAGACCGACTATGTAGAAATTTACACGAACTGCAGATGCACCTCTCTTTTATCTAAATAATAACCTGCATACCGTCATATCACGAGTGATCACGAGACATTCCACCCTGTGGTTCATGTTCAGGGATGGTGTTCAATCAGAAGGCTTCCAAAATCTTACGCCCTGGAAGCAATCTGGATAAATTTCATAATTCGAAGCATGAACCACAAGGAGGAATGCCTTGTAATTACACGTAACATGGCACCGTATAAGAATACTGTTATTTCAACGAGAAAGAGGTGCATTTCCCAGTCCTTATAATCTTTACATGGTTATTCTCCAGTGGGAGAACTCGGTGGGTGAGCTAATAAAAAGCAGCGAGTATGTTGGAAGTTGTTTGCATCCTAATGCGAATCTAAACTTGTTGATTATTGTATTTCTGTTTATGGAGGTGTCTGGCTAATTAGATTGTGGGCAACCTGATCCTTTTGAGCTATCAAGAAGGCGGAACCGCCGAAATGTCGCCTGTCAGAATGACTTGCTTTATTAGAGCCTTACACTTGATTCGAAAAGAAAAGAAAACGAGGAGTTTATGAGATGTCTCATCAGTGAGTAGTTGCCTGTTTCTGAAATTGTGAAAAAATGCTCCATCAGGATTTGAACATAATGTGATTCGGTGTTTGACATTTTTTTCTTAAAGAATCAGTCATGAATAAATCTACGCCACCACGAGCCTGTTGAGCTACATAGATGCTTCATTACAATGAACATGAAAAGTTAGGAGGTTCAATACAGAATTGTGGTAGTTGCTGTGAGCACCGACCCAATGAATTGCGCAGCAGCGACGATTAGAGGTTTACTGTTATGCGCTCGTTATGCGAGTTACGTGCTTACCGATGATATAGCGGTAGGGAAGCTTCAAGAATAGAAAAAGTGGAACGAATCGCGCTACTACATCGTTCAATTGCGATCACGGGGTGTTAATGGTTGAGATCTGCATAGGTTGAGAGATAAGATACCGCTCCTCAAGCGCAACGCACACGTCAATGCATCGTAGAACTAACATTCCAGAAATTGAAGAAACTGAGTTACAAAGCTATGGATCATTTACTGCATTTGCCATACTTCTCGTATACTAGCTATCATTTTTTCAAGCATCTCGTTAACTTACTGTATTGGTATGCTTCGAAATCTATGCAAAGGTCGGAACTGCCTTCAACGACTTTCGCGATTATAGAAGACTAGAGCTTTAATTAGACGGTAGAGCTACACTTACTACCTATACAAGGAAATCTGTTGATTTTAACGTTTTCGTGCTAAGTTATTTTGTTCTGAGGTGAGATAAGTCACTTCAAGAATGTAGGTTCAAATCAGACTTTTTTTCAAAAAAACTGAAACGTGTTCAGGTTAGAGCCATTTTCATCTTTTGAATTCAAGTTTCAATTGTAATTCATATAATTAATAAGGGCAATCATCGATTGTTGCCATAAGAGTTATTCGTGAAATCACACCGAAACGTCAGATTCACTTAAAACTGATGTAGATGTCATTACCTGCTGTGTTGATGTGCCTAGGGAAGCGGCAGTCTTATGTACTTTCGATGCCCCTTTCTGAAATTTAAATTATCATCACAGACAAAGCATTCAGAATAGTTGATAAATGCTAAATAACTGACAATCAGATAAGCATTTCCTTCAGATGAAAATCTGTGAGCTCTAATAATTTTCCTTTCGAGTAACAAGACGAGCTAAGACAGTTCACTTTAGAAACATGGGTTGGAATCCGATATTAGTTTCAAAAAAAATTTAGTACGTATCTCCGCAGCTGCCCTTTTTTCTCTCATCAAGAATTTCTCATAATAAGATTAGTTCAAACTTTACTTTTGATTTCATACACTTGTCGTTCTACGCTTTATTGGACCAGACTTCATCAAAGTGTTAGACATATTTAGAAATGATAACACATATTGATTACCAGTTGGAGTGGTGAGCACGCAGGGGAAGAAATCGTATGTGCTTTTGGCGTTTTGCTTTTCTGAAAATGATTTTTCAATAGGACTAAAACCTTTGAAATAGTCAGTAAATGTCACCTATTAGTAACCGCGTGTTAATTATTTGGGAGGAGCGGTAGAAGAAGGGTGGAGATGGTTTATCACACATATAACCATGCATGATTCTTTTTACTTGACCTCCTCTTAGCGATGGAATGATGTCATAATATACCCAGTGATGTAGAGTGATGTGCAAAAAGTCTTGTGTCAGCTGGGACTCGTACACATATTTAACCCTATCCGGGGCGTGTGCTGGACTGTTACACCACCTATGCCGGTTTTGACACCACTCTTTCTCGCAAAAAATTTTTGCACATCACTCTACTTCACTGGGTATATTATAGCATCATGCCACTTTAAAAAGCGGTCAAGTAAAAGAATTATGTTTGATCATCGATACTCAATATTTGTCAGCATCAGTGGGCTTAGTGTCTACAGCGACCATCCACGGCAGATCGATGACGGTTGGGCCCTGATACATAGATGCATTGTAGCGTAGAAAAGAGTGTTGTCCAAGTGGGCGTCGGTGGTGCAACGGTTCAGCACGCACTCCTGGATAGGATCAAATGTGAGTTCGACTCCCAGCTGACGCAAAAGTTCTTGCATAGAACTCTACATCACTGGACGTATGACCATAGTTCAGCCGATACCGCGGACCAATCAAACCCCATCATTCTCATCGCTCCGGTGTTAGAAAACCGCGACCAGTCTTGTCTGGGATCAGCTTGCATTCGTCAATCCACAAAGTTCGAAGATTGCTTGTGATTAAAGTTTGGTAACCACTATTAAAGGATTTCAGGAAGATCGGCTCGACCCTCATCCTACGGCATTCATAGAGGAGGTAGAAATCTTCAAGCAGCAGCTGAATCCTAAGGAAAATCAGAACTTACATGGAATATGGATGTGATGGAAACAAATGAAATGTGTGGAACGCTAGTTCCGCACATACTTAATATTGGGTCAAGGGAAACAAAAATAAAAGGAATATTAGTGCTCGAAGTTGCCTTATGATGAGTTTCCAAGTACATAGACTTATGATGGATTCAAAGTACAGAGCGTTTTTTTCCAGAAAAAATCGTTGTAAACGACCACACCACCTCCACCAATTCGAATTCATGTTCTATCACGGTCACAATTCATATAGTTAACTTATTCAAGTTGACCATAAAAGCAAATCTTTGAGTTTCATTTAGTTCTTGCCAAGTGTGTGATTGGATCTTGTTCATTGTACCTCAGCCTTCTTCAATCGTAGTTTTCGCATAAATGAGCTGCAGGTGGTGATATGAAGTATTGTCAAGTAGATAGCTGTGATAACGGCATACCTAGAATACTCTATAAATAGATGACATGTCATGGCTAAATTGTCAAACATTGTTGCAGCAATTAAAATTATTGGTCTGCAATGAGGGGTATCGACGGTAAAGATGACATATCGTACAGATTCCCACTACTCGTCACATTGCATTTAAGGACGTTCATAGGTATTAGACTGCGGTATAAAGCGCGATTGGAGGCTTGCTCTCCCACTAAAAATCCCCAACGGTCAGAAGAGTTTAGATATTTTCATCCGACGTTCAGCTAAGAGTAAAGTTCGCCACACCAGAGCCTAGTAACCTACTCATTCTCTTTCGGTGAGCAATAATAGAAGCATCGTATTACAATCGTCAAATCTTTTCATGTTCTAAAGGCAAGTGTTTCAAGAAACACCTCTGGTGCGCGATAAGGCATGAATGCAGAACTCATCAGCACTGCAGATGGAAAGGGTGGTGCAAGACATAGAAAAGCAGCTAATATTATTTAGATCGCAGTCATAGAGGGAACTCCTATTGATCTGCCAGCATACGTAAAATAAGTCCTGAATGCACAATTTTTTTCGTTTGTGAGCATGGTGGAAGCGAATGAACACCTTAGGTATCTGTGCTTTCGATAGCAGAAACAGTTTCTATAGGATTTCAACGATTTCCGTGGTATATATGTCATCTAGAATAAGATACTCACCACATAGCAACCTCTCAATACCTAAGCAAAAGTAACAATACTCTCACCTCCCACCAATTACTTATCATAAAATGCACACAACAAGCGTTATCTTTTCTCAGTGTATCTCTCTCTCCTTATCGAATTCTCGATCATGTTTTCACTGTTTTGATCGAAATAGACCGAGCCTTTATACATGTGCGCACCATGCTATCAATCAGTTAGGCTTTCTTCGACTTTCTTGAGGTCTGCCAGAATAAAATCCATCAAGCTATAAATGGCGTTAAGGAAACGGGAATTTCGGTTTTGAAGATTTTCTAAGGGATCCGACATTCATCCGCCATGAGCAATTTCAGTTGGAGGACCGAATGCGTGTCTTTCCTATACAATTACATTCGATGACCCGACAGTGTTGAATTAGCGCTTCCACCATTCCAGACAGGTCTGGTACCATTTGTAGACCCTGAAAATGTGAGAAGCTTGCTCAACTCGGTGCGCAAGTTTCGAACCCAAGACCACGTGTGTACTGCAGTTGTAACACTCCACTGTCTCCACGTGCTCGCGCATTAATTGTTACAGTTTCAATAATTCTAATTATATGTATAACAGTTGAATCGAGCGGCTCTTACAAAGTTCATTTTGGTAAGATTGCCCTGACGATGGCCACGTCCTAATCCTCACATTGGCTAGTAATAAATTCGCTTAAAGTATGCTGCGAGCTGTGAAAAAATCACGCTTTTGCTTACTTATGATTCTGAGAATACTGAAGAGATTTTGGAGAGGAATACGAATCTTTCGTACTATTCATAGCACTCTCTGCTCTAGGCTCAGAACTTAAACTGAAAACGTTTTGAAAGCCATTTTTAAAGGAAAGTGGTAAGGAAACTTCTATGTAAACCTAGCAATACTACGTAGTTGCTGTTTGTAATTAACAAATAGATATTCCATAAGTATTTATTGTATTTGTGTTATATTGTTTCATTGTATTATTTCAATTGTTTTATTTTGTTTTTGGTTTTATGTAATGTTATATGAAAATATTTTATGTATTATTTCAATTGTTTTATTATTTTGGTTTCCATGTTATGCTATATGAAAATATATTATGATGTTATAAGTTGCAGATTGTTGAAACGTATTGATATAGAATGCAGATTGTTGATTAAATGGTGATAAATTATTTATATAACATTGATTGCCTCTGTTACGTTGTTACTATACGAGATATGGTGTGATATGACGTGTGAGTAATTCAAGCATATTGTTGTGAAAATAAAAAGATAACAATAAAGCACTTGTAGTGAAGCGCCGCAGTGGGGATCAAACCAGCGACTTCCACTACGGACTGCTCGTCACATGCCGTTGTGGCGAGTGGCAGACGTGAGTGAGGCAGACGTGATTTACACGCTTGGGTTAGAGTCACAGAGGAGGTGGGCAGAGCGTCGAGTCCTAGTAGTTAGACAGGCAGAGGGTTGATGTCCAGGGTCCCGAAGAGGTCAAGTGAGACTGCACCGAAACTGAAAGCGTATCTAGCATCTAGGATGCGATGGGTCGTGGTGGCCTAGCGATCTATCAGATGCATGCTGCTACACCCCATCCCACCACAAGTCGGTACTAATTCGCCGAATGCCGGACTGATGAAAGTTTCGATGAGCTCTAAGCGCGGGGATCGAGCGATCGATCATGTGCCTGTCGCAAGACACCTCTCACTCACTGCGCCGCACGCGCTCCATTGTATATTACAAAATGATGTCTCATAAACCAGTAACTATGCATGAAGTTCAGAATATGAGTGGGGTTGTTTACGTCTTACGCGAATACCGCCAACCATTGTCCAGACCTGGTGAGTGCAGCAACGTTTTTTGACGAGATTGATTTGAGAAAAGATTGAAATAAACAGAATCCAAAAAGTCTTAGTGATCAAAGCGATCTCGAGATCTGGAATTATCGCTCTGAGATATTCAGAAAACAACAAAAGCGGCACTAAAGAACAACTACACAAGACTAGTTGCATGTTTAGATGGTCTATCTACCTGAGCTTGCAACCACTGACATATTAACCAATTTTTTCGCTCAGTGTTTAAAATTGGCAACTTTCTGAGGACCACCGTTGGCAAGCAGGCACGCAGCGTCACGCCAATCGCTCGCGCAGCACTCGGCTCGATCGACCTTGGCGACTTGGAGCACGTGATCTTCCCAGTATAAGAATTTCCAGGTGATGCAGATTTTTTTTGTCACTTAAAGGTATTTGCATCAGTATAAAAGATGGAGATAGAATGTGCAAATTCCAATAAGGGCAATTTATGGTTGAAAAACCATGCCCAAAACAATTGCAAAAAAAAAATGCGGTCTGTCAAAAATGATAAGAGCAGATTGCAATGCAATGCTACGTCCATCGACTACTGATCAAAATTCTTTTGATCATTAGCATACTTTTGGAGTCGGAGCTTCTATACATGTCGAAGAGATTTCGTTTCATTGTATCTAGAGTTGAGCATGAAGCTCTGGAATTGATAGTTGTCTTTTTTAAACGCAAATTGCAACAAAAACTATTTTTCAAAGTATAGGCGTACCGTTGTTCATGACTTTCTGCCATAGTTTCTGTAAGAATTCGGATCTTCTTGTAAGCACCATTTCGACTCCTTCGAGTCGAAAAACTCTTGAGGTGCTTTTTCAATTCCACTGAATGACGTAATCGTCGGCTTTCAAAACAAGTGTTGCACTGATAGGAAGGAGACTATATCGAATGGAAAACGTTTCGACTGCCTGGATCCGTGATTAACCCGGATGAACCACTTCTTCTCTGACGTTAAACATTCTCTTCCAGGATCGAATTCATTCAACCGACTGTTCAGCCACTGGCGACAAATGTCGACTTTTCTATCCGTTTGTGCTTCGGCTTATGCTGAAACGTGGCGAGGCTTCTTGTGGACACCATCAAATTGGTGCAGTTTGTTGAGTACGGTCAGTTGCAAAACACTAATTATTCAGCCAAATCATGAAGTGCTCGATGAATAAGCAAATAGCCAACCAGATCGGCGCATGCTTTCGAAGTCTAAATTTCCATCTTTGAGTTCCAAACCTCTGCCCACAGTCGATTTTTGCTGCAGTATCATTGTTTTTTTCTCCCCATAGTGGCGGAGCAACACACGCAGATAATACATGCTATGTCCTTATCCAGATTACATCGTTTTTCAGCGGGCTTATAAAAAAGCGGTCGAAAGTAAAGGCATTGTGAAGAGTTGTGGAGTTTCTAGAAGCTATCAAGAAATAGGAAGAATCTCTTTGACATTGGAGAACTAACACCATACCTTGCCTAGGTGGCACTGCGATCCACAAGGAATGAATATCATTGGTGAAAACCAGGAGATTCTAGAGGGAATCAACACGAGCAACAGTTCACGGATGTTTAAGAGGAAGACAAGCTCTTTAAATATGGAACCCAATTTCAGATTCTGACGCCGTAATGATAGATGTAGCCTGAAAATGCAAAACGTATCCTTCTTTTCGCTTTTTTCAGCACTCTATGATGAGTTTTTTCAAAAACCAAACCTAGTCGAAAATTCATCAAAATGTATGTTATCAATAACTACTTGAAATTGGTGCCTTATGGTTC